GCGTGTTTCTTCCTCAGCGCGGCCGCCGTGGCCTCGTGCTGCAGCGTGGCCTCCTCCAGGTCCCTCCTCAGCTTCTGGAATTCCGCCTCCCTCTTCTTGTTGAGCTCCAGCTGGGCCGAGGTGGCGCCTCCGGCCTCCTCCAGCCGCTCGCTGAGCTCCTCCAGCTCCCTCGACAGCTCCGAGCGTTGCTTCTCCACCTTGGCTCGGCCCGTCCGCTCGGCCTCCAGCTCCTCCTCCAGCTCCTCGATCCGCGCCTGCGTGCCAAGAAAGTGCTGGGTTGGGATCCACCAAATCCCTCCACTCAACCCAACCCAAGCAGCTTGGGACGCTTTAACCCAACTCAACTCAACCCAACCCAACCCAACCCAACAACTGGAGACCATTCAAGTAAGCCCAACCAGTTGGAGACCCAACCCAACCAGCTGGAGATCATTCAAGTCAACCCAAACCACATGGAGACCCAACCCAACTCAACCAGCTGGAGATCGTTCAAGTCAACCCAACCAGTTGGAGATCCAACCCAACTCAACCAGCTGGAGATTGTTCAAGTCAAACCAACCAGTTGGAGACCCAACCCAACCCAACCCAACAACTGGAGACCATTCAAGTAAGCCCAGCCAGCTGCAGACCATTCAAGTCAACCCGACCAGTTGGAGACTCTTCAACCCCACCAAAACCAACCCATCTAAGTGGAGCCTCTTCTACTCAGCCCAACCACCTTGACACTCTCCAATGCAACCATCAGGTTTACTCTTCAACCCAACCCAACCACCTGGAGGTTCTCCAGTACAACCCAACCAGTTGGAGACTCAACCCAACCCAACCCAACCCAACCCAACCCAACCACCTGGAGGTTCTCCAGTCCAACCCAGCCAGTTGGAGACCCAACCCAACCAAACCTAACCCAACCCAACCCAGCCCAACCCAACCACCCGGAGGTTCTCCAGTCCAACCCAACCAGTTGGAGACTCAACCCAACCCAACCACCTGGAGGTTCTCCAGTCCAACCCAAGCAGACACGGAGCCAACTTTTCCCCTCCCACCTGTAGCTCCTTCAGTTTTTTCTGGAGCTGCAGAGCCAGGGCCTGCTCGTCCTCGATCCTGCTGTTCTGCTGGTGGATCTCAAACTCCTTCCTGTGGAGGAAGGGGAGGCAGGTGAGGCCTCACCTGTGACCCTCGACTGGACCTCACCTGGCAGGAGGATCCAGCCTCACTTCTTGAGCTTCTCCTCCAGCTGCTGCTTGTCGTTCTCCAGATCCATGATGTTCTCCTGGGTCAGCTTCAGGTCACCTTCCAGTTTTCTCTTGGCCCGTTCCAGGTCCATCCGGATCTTCTTCTCCTGCTCCAGGGAGCCTTCGAGCTGTGAGGGAACCCAGAAATGAGGAGAAACCTCAACTTTTGCTCCTCTTCACCCCGGAAGTTCCTCGGGAGGGCCTGGGGTGGGTCCAGCCACACTCACATCGTCCACTTGCTGTTCCAGCTTGACCTTGCCCTTGGTCAAGGTGTTGACTTTGTCTTCCTCGGCCTGCAGGTCGTCCAGGGTCTGCTGGTGGGATTCCTGCAGAGCTTTCTTCTCCTTGGCCAGTTTGGCGATGCTCTCGTCCAGCCCCGCCATCTCCTCCGTCAGGTTCTTGACCTGTGGGAGGAGGGTCCAGGGTGGGGCGGAGTCGGGGCAGGTTGATGTTCACCTCAGCCAATGAGGTTGTTTCAAAGCAGGGGAACCCAAAGGATCTTGGGTATTCTCGGTGAGCTCAACCCAATCAACGTTGGATCTTCTCAACCTGCCTTGGGTATCCTCAACCCAACCCAGCCTTGGGTGTCTTCAACTCAATATCTCATGTCTTCTGCACCCACCTCAACCATCCTTGGTCATCCCAACTCAACCCAACCTAACACAACTCAACTCAACCATCCTTGGTCATCCCAACCCAACCAATTTGTGTTTCACCAACCCAACTCAACCCAACCATCCTTGGTCATCCCAACCCAACCCAACTCAACCAATTTGTGTCTCACCAACCCAACTCAACCCAACCATCCTTGGTCATCTCAACCCAACCCAACCCAAAAAATTTATGTCTCCTCAACCCAACCATCCTTGGTCATCTCAACCCAACCCATCCCAACCCAACCAGCCTTGAGTCTCCTCAACCCAACCCAACAAGGCTGAGCAGACTCAAGTCCCCTCACCTTGAGGCCAAGGCCTCTCCCCACCCTCACCTTGTTTTCGGTGGCGTGTTTCTCCTTCTCCACCTTGGCCAGGGTCAGCTCCAGGTCATCGATGTCCTTCTTCAGCTCCGAGCACTCGTCCTCCAGCTTCCTCTTCTTGGCCGTCAGCTCGGCGTTCATCTCCTCCTCATCCTCCAGCCTCTCGGTCAGCTCCTTCACCTTGGCCTCCAGCTGGATCTTGTTCTTGATCAGTTGGTCACAGCGCTCCTCGGCGTCGTTCAGGTTGTCCTGCTCCTGTTGGGGGGG